CATAATGCCATTCCCTTTTTAAGTATCTAATCAGACGTACAAACACAGAGGAATGGAGTTTATTATTTATCACAAAATAATACGCATCATCAATTAATTGAGCGCGATTCAAAACATTAATTTGGGTATAATTATGAAAATTTAAGTAAGTACAGATTTTATCCCAATTTCGGTCATCGTAATTGACGCGATAATATCCTGCAATTAAAGAGAAAATTAGCTTCTCCTATTAAGCTATTATATCATATTCTTTAGTCATATTCAGTGAAAACTCATTCGTTAGTTCTCATGTCTCTTTCTAGAGAGCATAATAAGAAAGATTCGAATTTTCACGGATATCATCAAATATAAAATGTTACTTAACTTAAAGTAAACGTAAGGACATGGATACTCGGCGATAAATACTCACCAGTATATTTCATATTGATTATTATGAAATCATTAATATTCAATTTACTGATATATATATAAGGCTTGATACCATAAAATAAAATTTTCGATGTAACATTCATGAAAGTAAAATTTGATATCTTGAGACAAGTTATAGGTATTTTCCAATTCGTTTCGTTGAAATTATATGCTGAAAGTGTTGCAAACCCATTATAATCACAATCGACTTTCAACTCAGGAAAATGCCTTTTTGTCATCCATGTATCCATTATTTCAGTTATGTTGTAGAGCAATTTGTCATTATTTGTTAAGGAACTTTGCACAATAGCCCAGAGACCACTCATAGAATCTGTGGTATTGTCACTAAGCAAATAAAAACAGATTTTAGTAACAATTCGTGAATTTTTTATTAAGTTTATCGGAAAAGAACGTGCCGTTTTGACGTTTAAAATGAAACAGTAAATTGAGATATTGAAACGTTTATTCAATTCATGATACCATCTCCATTTTAATCGATAATCTGCTGCCACCTTAGAAGTCATACCAATTCACCTCACATTATGACTGCTTCTACCACCAACGGTATCTGTCGGAAAAACGGCACGAACTTTCGCAACAATCTAATACTAATTTAATCTTGAAGAAAGTGATTGCCATATTTTACGTCGATTTCGTAAATTATAGTCCCAGCAGACATGATAAAATTTTAATAACGGATTACAGATATCTTCAGTGTCAATTATACGTCATTAATAGAGTTAATGTCGTATTACAATTTAGGGTAAATATATCAAATAATACATTTATGACATATGAAAGAAATCTTAAAATTCCGAAGATGTCTTACAAAATTATTAGAAGGATATTGTGTCGCAATTTAAGACGTCTAAGAAACACTTTCAAAATGTCTTAAGCAATATGTATTTAAGACATATTTAGACTCGCGTTTTTTCGTGGAATATTAAATAATTAATCAGGATGCACTATTATCTCATTATATAATGCATCACTCACCATTTCTTCGCAAGTTTCCGGATAATTTCCTTGTAGACATATTCCGGCGCTTCGAGAGAATAAAATAACATGCGCATTATAGCAGCTCCTGTAATAATTTATAAGCACAACGTAATAAATTAATTTAATCATAAAGTACTATACTTAAGTGTAGTATTCTTGGGTGTAGCATATTTGTGCTATTATTGAAACGGCTACATAATAAAAAATACGGCAGAATTAAAGTTGGAAAAAAAGCTTCTTTTCAACACAAACTGCTTGCTACGCAGCCTTATCTATTTACCACTATCTGTTTAACATATGTAGCAAATACTATTAAAATCAGTTTTGACGTAAAACTTCTTCACAATAGCGCAATGATATATTTTTTATGATACATTATCCTATATTTATTCCGCAAAGTTAACTACTTTATTTTTAATAAATAGTCATTGATTTAATTGATATAATATAGCATTACAAGAGAAACCATAATTTTTTAAACAATTAGGTTTTCGTGATTTATGAATTCCAAGCCTTTTTCAAAATTTACGTTTTTATAACATTTTATTTATAAGCGTTCAATTAAAAAAAAAATTTATGTAATACTCAGTTTCAAAGAAATCTTTATAACTAAAAGTCACTAGATGTATTACACAGCCAATATGGTAAATCGCAATTGGAATAAAGTGTAGTGCACAGGAATTAATATATAATTGCGTATATAATATGTAAATTACGTAATATTGAAGACTGTACGAAAAGATAAAAACAAGGTATAATGTATTTAATTTTGAACACGCTTTCAACATTACCAAATATTTCATCTCCTTATAAATTCCATATTTAAAATGTATTCTCATTCAAATTAAAAATAATTTTAAATGCAGTCATGTTTTTTCAGTGTTTACAATATATAGTATACAGAAAGTTATTTATATGAGTTCATTACGTCCCACCTTTATTATAATACAGTCGAGAATAATGAATTGCATCAATTTCATCAATGGGATGCACGAATTTGTTCTGCGACACAGGTGCCATTTGGAAATCGACATCATAGTACAAAGCACCCTGCATAGTCTGAACGATGGAGAGGTCCATAATCGACGAGTCACGTTCGTACTACAAGTGAATGTTGTTGCGGTCGAGTTAATATAATGCAGAAAAAATTGTACAACACAATTTTACAATATAAAGGTGTGAAATGACTAAATTAAAGAAACTTAAATGCATTTTGGCAACGCTAAAAATATAGAATTACCTGGAAAATGACAAAATAACTTAAGAATGATGCAAGTATCTTAATTAGCCAAAAATAAGAAGGGGATATTATTTGGACAAGGACTTCCCGCGCTAATGAATCGCCTACTACCTTGTAGATATACATTTTACGACCAGGAAAATCTGTAGCATTATCGTACTTAAAGCTTTCTTCCCTGCAAAATAAACATAAAATTATTCGGTGAAATATATCTTTGCCATTATATATTCATAATTGTTTATTGTAGCGCAATTTCAGGAAGAAAATATCTTCATAAATTTCACATTTTCCAACAACTATTTGCCTCATTAAAAGTTATGTACTCGTTTTCTACACTGTCGATTAATATAATAATATTCTTTTTGAATAACAGAGGAATCATTACTCTAAAATACTTTACCTCAGAAGCATTTATCAGATTACACAATAACATTAGCAACACACTGATTATGTACCTGTATATAATAACTCCTAAACTTCCTCTAATCTGAGATGGAAAATTCGGAATTACGATGTGATCAGTTTCCATAATTCCATAATGGACACGGGCGTAATTTTTGAAAAGATCTTTCGTTTTCGGAAATACGATGTGATCATTTTCCATAATTCCATAATGGACACCAAGGTAATTCTTGAAAAGTTCTTTCGTGTTCCGAATTTCCAACGTAATGTTCGCATTTTTCACTATATTCCTTTGATGCCAATACAAATCATCGCCCAAATAACTATGAGTCATGTCATCAACCATTATGATTGCCACTTGACTTGAAGCTATAGGTTTGCTAATAAGGAAATACGTTAATGATGTACCATCTGATTTGTTTATCAGCTTTTCTACTGGCATATTTGATATAACATTGTATTGCTCAGGATGCTCAATAATAATCTCATAATTCATATGTATTTCCGGCTCGTCCCAACATGGAAATAATGTTCGAGCACGATTTGATGTTGACAATATTCCAAGAAACCACCTAACGCAAAGCAATACTTCAGCAATAATAAATCAATTGCAGTTTTTGCATAAAAATTCATCAATTAGTTATCTATATATGGTGTTAATTATTATTAAATTAGAAGTCATGCCTGAATCTTGGAATAATATTTATGTAAAATGACGCACCGTTCATGTTAATAGTAATTAACATTTTTTAATAATTATATAGTTTATAAAACGATTGTATTTCATCGTTTAAGTCATTTGGTTCGGATTAATGCACAAATTGTAATATTTACCGAACGATAGAATTTAAATTTCTTTATAAAAGTTAAAAGTAAAGACTTATATGATTATTTTGTGTCCGAAGTTCATTATTTTATATAAATTAAGAAAAAAGTATGTTTCTCCTAACGAAAGACAATTACACTTGCAGTTACATTTACATTTAATTTTGCGGAGGATAGAAAATTTCCTTTAAAATCAAGCGGCACGACACTAAGATATAACTGACCAGTTGAACATAATTTAGTTTGATATGAAAAACAGCATGAAACGTTACAGCACTATAAATAACTTATCCGAAGTTTTCACGTCAAAAAAACTTTGATTAATATATCTGACCAAAATAAAGCCATAAGAAAAAGCATTTTTCTTATATATTTACTAAAAGTTTTTCAATCCTGATATAAAGTTTTACATTAATACTCTCTTGAAACATTTTATTTGAAATTTATTAACAATCTATTCAAATTGTTAAACTTTTATTTCTAATATAGTAAAAAAAGAAAGAAATATAAAAATTACTTGACAACTTTTATCAATTTCTTTCCTGCTTTTGATATTATAATATGGATTTTCTGAGTTTTTCTCTGTTATGTGCTTTTTGTGTTTTTATAATAATTTTTGTCAGAATTTTTAATACATTTTTATCACATATGTCAAAATTAAATTTTCAGCATTTTTTTTATATTTATCATATTACTATTTGCATAAAATACTAGCTTGAAAAAAAATTCCACCTCTATATCAGTTTTAATTTAAACGTTGTGTGTCTCGAGAATAAAAGAGGGAAGACAAAAGTGTAAGCATTTGTGTATACATATGTGTGTAGGTGAGTGTAATAATTATTAGGTTAGTCTAATAATTATATAACGAATTAGTATTTTTAATCATTTTATTATATATTATTATATATTAGTTTTGATTATATTATTACTATGCAAATATTCCTTATTAAGCCTAAATTTTGACAGTTTTGTGTGTTACTAACTTTCTCGTATCTAGACTGTTCTGCAACCTATTATATGAAACTTTAATACTGTAAATTCTAAATTATAATAAAAACCTTGTAGAACATAATGATGATAATATTGTAAAATATAGTACATCTAACATATTTTTCCTACTAACTTGGTGTGCATACATCCCATTAATAAGCTCATTTACCTCCTAGTTGCCTCAGTTTCTGTATATCTCATATACTGATATCTGATAATGTTTTCATTCTTATTGTATACACCGTAAAAATGTATATGTAACTCGTATAATCCAGGAGATATTAAATCATCATATAATATGTCGAACCGCTGTGTTTTAGTACAAACACGATAAGATGCATAACGAGTATGTTGTATACTCTTGTTTGAAGCTTCAGTTATCGACTTTAACGATATGCTTGATGTATATATATACGGTCCAAAACAATGCAAACTTAATCTTTTGACTGGTTTGTGAATTTTGATCACGATGTCGGATTCCCCATCGTAATTTTCAGATTCCATATTTAATTTGAAAAAAAGTTTATAATGTATTGGCTCTATTATTGCAATTGATAAACGTTCATCAGACGTAGCGTTTTCACAATTTCCGTGGTCCACATCTGTTTCGATAGCCATAGCAATGTTAAGTATCAAAGCAGTATACAATATTTGTTTGAAGCATATCGTACGCATTATCGTTTGGAATATATCTGTGAAAATAATTTACATGCTAGATAAGGAAATGATATAAAGATAAGTACAAATTAAGGAAGTAATTATACAGTTTTTTTTTCCATTATGGCGGAAAGGAGAAGAGAAATAGAAAGATATAGTACCATATCTAGTATCCATATATAGTACTATATATAGTATTTTTTACAGAAACAGCATAATATGTTTATATGCCAGAATATATGTATACATTTATCAACAAGCCAAGGCAAAAGTTTCCTTTTATTTTCATATTATTAACATATAAGAAAAGAGATTGAAACAATATCAACAGTTATATGTGTTCTATAGAGGATAACATCTTTCAGGGAAGGGAAAGGAATCTAAAGTTCTATATAAATTCTACATAATAATATTCATTTCGCTATATAACCATCACGTATACATATGAGTAGCATATTTTTTAAACTAAAAAGAACTTTTTTTTAAACATATAAAGTCTATAAAAATAAAGAGAATACTATGCGATTATAACAGACATATAGCTTGCAGGACTTTGCTACGCGAAAAGACTAAATACATGAACTCAATAAAATGTAACGCAACAGCACCTTAAATAGTTAGAACTACAGAACGTAAACACAAATTTTGTTTTAGAATATCCTGAAAATGCAGGATATATTGTAGGCAACATAATTAATTACATACCCCGAAAAACAGAGAGAAATTAAAGAGTTGTACAATTGTATACGAAATACAAAGTGACCTAATACTTAATGCATACTTAAAGTCTAAGAGAAAATGTTATTCAGGTTTTCTTACTTGGATAATATACTGTGGATAATCTTCTACGTATTTGCGGTTGCTCACTCTTAGTCTTTCGACGTATCATTTCTGACTCTTGGTAACTCTAGTATGTGTTGTTATTTATATTGTCGCTGTATATAAAAAGTATTAGCTAACCAATTGAAACTCAGTAAACGAATAATTGAAACTCATGTAAATGTGTTTATGATTAGCTACAGATATAGATATAAACACTCCTGCCGACAAACGTTACATTTTGATTCAAAATTATAACTTTCAGTAGTTACGCGACCTGCGCAAGCGTACATATATGTACATATCTATTGAAAAACATGTAGTAAATATGCTTATATTTCTTTAAAATTTCTACAAAAATGCTACGTCTTACTCAGAAAAATACTTAAATTCTTATAAATTAGAATATAGGGTAAAACTTTATTTTTACACAGCTTGCTCCAAATGGCTTCCAACTGACGTTGATGTTGACCTTGATCCTCAAGAAGATCAGGACTATTGCCCTTTCACTGCTCTCGTTGTTCATTGTAAAGTTCTTTACAAAAGAAGATAATTATTTACATTAGAGAAACCACTTCCGATGAGGCTCCTTGACATATAGTATCAATCCAGACAGCATAAGATTTCGTGAGGACGTCCTTAGAACGTCTTAAGGAATAATTCTTTTTAAGATTTTATGTCTTCTTTACTTTGATTTATTGTGATTAATTTGTAAATTCTTTTAGTTACTATATTTCTTTTGGACACAACACAATATTATATATGTTTTAATTCGAATAATATTTTCAATATTACTCCAAAGGAAGTCAGAGGAAGACAAAATGTGTATATGTATACGTGGTTTAGTTTTATTTATACACAGTTAACTGGGAAACAGTTCAGACATAATAAAGTTGGGAGCTTACAAAATTGCCAAATTAAGAGACCCTACACTTTGAAAGGCTTACTAAATTATGTTACCAATAATATTATAAATTATATTATGAATTATATTATCATAAATTATTATACATTTTTATAATATTTAATTATAACCAATATTTCATAATTTTTATGTTATTTTTAATAAAATTGTTACGTATGTCTGTCGTTAATAATTTAACATTTTGGTGACTTGCCAACTTTCATATGTTTAATCATTTTGCAAACTACATAGTAAAAATTTCGTGACCCATAAAAATTATAATATTATAAGTTACAGGATATGCGAAGAAATTTGTTTTACAAAATATTAGTACATGTACTATAATACAAAATTCAATTATTTAATTCTAGTTTCCCTAGTGTCTGCATTCGTTACATATTGATATTTAATAATGTTTTTATTTATTTCGGATACTCCTCATAATTCTATACGTAGCTTATATAAAACAGAAATTATTGTCTCTCCAAAAATCATGCCGAGAATCTATGTTTTTGTACCAAAATGATAAGATGATGCAATATATCTACTCTGATTTGTTACATAATATAATAGATGTAACGATATGATTGATGTATTTATATATCGTCCAAAACAATGCAAGCTTAATTTCTTAATTTCTTCGTGAAGGTAAACCATAATATCAGATTCGCTGTCAAATGGTTGGGATTCCAAATGCGTTGGATGTAAGGTCAACTTAAATTTATAATGTATTAGCTTTATTATCCTAACCGATAAACTCTCATTAGTGAGGCGTCTTCACGATTTATCCTAATCGGTTAAAATATACATAAATAACATAGCCATAGCGATGTTAAATGTCAAAGCAGAATACAATATTTGCTTTAAACGTACCATATCCATTATCGTTTCAAACATATCTGCCAAATATAATTTACAAAACACACGCAACACTCAAGAAAATCATAACCTAAATTAAACTTTTCAGTTAAATAAAAAAAAAGAAATAAAGAGAAGATTTACAATATATTTAATAAATATACAAGTTGTGTGATAGCATCCGTACCAACATTATTATATCGTTAAAATGGATCAAGATAAGTAATAGGATCGATACGTTTTCGAAACAACTACGTAAAATTTGGAATACTAACGCTCCTGAGCATTCAGCCGAGAACTCCACGTTGATAATAACATTGATAGCCATATAATAGTTAAGAACATTAGTACATCTTGCGTCAGACACTCCATATACGTATGCGTGCATGAACATATGTGGGTCGATAAATGTTGATAAAACAAAAATAATTACATTTTGACATTACTGGAATATATGTAAAGAAATCAAAACAATAATGATGGTTACATGTCCTGTAAAATATATTTGCTTCATTGAAATATACGAGTTGCAATTACGGATATAACGTCAAGTAATAATATTTCAGTATCTTATCTTTCTAACGCAATACTTCAGACTAATAGCAATTCCAATTCAGTCTGTTAATATACCGGAGGAAAAAAAGCTTATCTAACTAAAATAAAGATATCGCACTTAAGTACCCCATGTTTGTAAATATAAATATGTATCTAAACTTTCAATCGCTTGCCCTAAATTTTATTTATAACAATATCTGACTAGAATTTGTAACGTAAATGTCATAGTAATATATCACACAAGTGAACTTATTGTAAAAAAAATGAAAAGTGTCAGTACGCATGTGTAACGGATTAATGCGAATAAAATCATTTATCAATAACTGCAAGATCAGAATTCATTATATTTATGTTAAACTTATACTCAGCCAAGTGCGTTCTTGCAAATTATTCAAAGATTCCACTTAGCCATCAATTGCAATCCGTTTAATTATTATAGTATTATCCGTTTAATTATTATATTATTATTATAGAATTTCATAAAAGTATATGTAGGAAGACAAAACCTGTTTCAATAAATACTGCAATAAAAATATCTATTTGGTAGAAAAAATAATACAATATACATTTACAAACAAAAAACGAAGAACGGAATTTCATAATACAAAATATCAAAGTGTACCATCAAGTGTACCATTATTTACTATTTATGACACAAATTAATATATTTTAAGTAATTATAATAACATCAAAGCAAATGTCTCTATTATTTTATTAAATATAACATCTACTATTAAATCGGATCTAATCTTATTTATAATAACAGATATTATACTAGATGCTAATACATAATACTGATGATTAGTATATTAATATTATACGTTCGATTATATAATTATTCGATACGTCTTTAATTTATTTGTCGACTCTAATATCTAATCACAGAAACGAATTTCATTCTTTCCCAAACTTGCGGAAATAGTAGGATATTTTCTCTAATTGTATCTTCCTTTGCTTAACGAAAATTTCAATTTCATTTTTCTCTTTCTCTGTTAAATATCGGGTTGATTTTGCAAATGCTGTCACCTAAAGAAAACAATTATAATTTGCATGAGTAATGTAAAATTGCAGTTGTGATTGGTATGGAAAAAAGTAATTATCTTAACAGCACAGATGTCCAGAGGACATCCAAAGTACAATCTGAGGAAGTCATGAGAATATTTCTTCGTCCTCAGAACGTGTTTAAGACGTCCTCAAGAGATCTTATGCTGTCTGGGCAGTATTAATCAGAGAATATATTAATAAAATACCCGACAGAAGTAACAATGAAATCAAGAAATTTTACCAC